ATGAGAATCACCTGGTTACAAATGCAGAGTTGCAGGCCCTGTTCCTGGGGACTCCATGTTGAGGGGGGCAGGCTGGGATTTGGGTTTGGGTTTGGTCCAGCCTGTAGGCAGTTTCTGTCTGGAAGCAAGCTTCAGAACCGGCCAAGAATGGCTTCGAAAGCCAGAGAGCTCTCTGAGCCGGCTGCTGGCTGCTGCGTTCAGGCATCAGCTGCCGGTGGGGCCTTGTGGAGGCAATGTTTGAGGTCTCTGGGTTTCATTCTTCTTCTTGGAAAATGGCAGAACGAAATGTTCAGGGTTAGCATTCCGCTCTGTGCCTAGCACAAAGAAAGCACCCCGGAGGTTAGGCCATGATCCATTCCCACCTCCGTGCAGCTGGGGGCTGGCACCCTAGGATGTCCATTCTCCACAGGTGGGGGTTGGAGCCTGGAGGGAGGGACGTGGTGGCTCTCACTGCCAGTCCTGTCTGGGGTAAGCGCTCATTTGAGAAGCATGGGCCCTGCGGAAGCCCAGACTGCCCACCTGGACCCCCAGCTGCGGCCCCAGCTGATCCACCGCTGCTTGTGCTGTGACCCCGCGTCCTCAATCAATTGACAAACACCCCCGGTGCCTGCTCTCTGTCAGCCCAGAGCTGACAAACTCTGGCACCAACCAGCTGTGCGACCTTGGGCAAATTTCGCCCCCTTTCCTTTCCGGGGCTGAGATTAATTCTTCATCTGTTTCCTCAGCAGCACTCAGAGGTGTAAATGGATTAATGCGGTGGATCACTTGGAAAGCGCTCAGGGCAGAACCTGGCGTGGTAAACTCTGCCGCACGTAAATGACACTCAGGCCACAGCCCCTTTCTCCAGGAGCCCAGTCAAGTGGAGTCCACACTGCACAGAGGACGTGAGGCTGTCGCCTCTGGCCAGCCAGCCAGGAATGCTTCCTGGAGGAAGTGAGGAGACAGTGGCTGCAGCACCGCGGAGCCATGATTCGGAGCAAGGGCAGCGGCAGGGTGTGCGTGGACCTTGCTCCAACTGCTTCTCAGATTACGGGGTCGGTTGAGGCTAAGCCCTGCGGGTCGCACGTCTCCTTCCAGTACAGGTATCTAGGTACGCCACGTGCGGATTTAAGGAGAAATCGAAACAAAATGAAAGAACAGAAGATATTCTGGTGTGGCCAACCCTCTGAGGACGGGCTGGGAACGACAGAAGAAAACCGTTCCCAAGGGACGCCAGGGCTGGTGCTACGGGACCCAGAGGACGCTCATTCTGGGAACGCCCTGGCGGCCCCTCCCTGCCGGCTCGCGGAGAAGCGCCGCGCTGAAGCGCGCACCCGGAGTCAGTTTTTCTTTCGAATATCACCGTTTATTTTTTAACGCGGAGTGTGCTTGTTCGAGTCTTAATTATTGAAAGTACATTAGTTTCCTGTGTGCGCTGCGCCCCGCGTAGCTGAAGGTCCCCGGAGCCCGCGCCGGCTCCTCCCAATATCCGCGCGCCTTCCAGCTCGCACTCGCCTGACGCTTCTCGTTTATTTCTCCAGTTTTTCAGTCCCGGTTGAGTTTTCTCACGTGCATGCGCCTTTAGAAAATCATTGAAAACAGAATTAACAGCGCCGACTGAATTGGGAGGGCTTGTAAGTAAAAGGGCCTTGGTAGTTTAGAGTATTTCTGGTTCTGCCCCAGGTCCCGGTCCCCCTGTGTGGGACCAGACATCCTTGGACCGCGAGGGCTATCGGCGCTATTCTCCAGAGGCGGGAGAACTACACTGTGCCCCGGTAACCGACCTGGAGTGAGGCCTGGGATCCTCCTCCCACTGGCCAGAGTCTGGGGTCCACTGGAGTCCGCGTCCCAGTGGTCCCTGCGTCTTTCTTGGAGAGTCATGCAGAGCACTGCGTGGTGGCTCTCATTGCTGGAGGACACTTCCCTTCAGGGTCCTGCCGGCCTCTCCCAGCTCCCCCCTTAGGGACTGGGTGACCTTGGTTGGGGGTAAGCTCCTCAGTTCCCCAGTCTGCAACCCCCACGGGTTAGGTTGGAGAACTCCTGCAAAGCACAGAGCCGGGTCCTGGGGACCCCTTCCTTATCCTTTCCTGAGCCCCTGGAGATGATGCAGGGAGATCCCGGTGACACTTGCCTGGTCCTTGAAGGGAGAGGATGACAGAGGGAGAAGCAGGAAAAGTCCTCAGCAGTAAGTGAAAGAAATGCCCAGGATCCCGAGAGGAGAATGGAGGAGAAGGGACTGCATTATGGCCATCCCCCCTGGGGGGTGATTTCTCGATTTCTGTCTCTGTCTCTCTCTCTCTGTCTGATGAGCACACGCGCCCTATAGCAAAAACCTCTCCAAAAGAAAAAAAAAATGTTATTTTCTAGTGTCACTACAGAGAAGGGGGGGGGGGGGGGGAAGGCGGGCAAGGGGGGGGGC